CTTGATAGGGCCCTTATAAGGGCACCTTCCTCGGGGAAACCGCTATGCAGCGCCTGCCCAGAGGTCGCAGGAGTATTGATCATAGTCGTCTTGAGGGATTTATCGTGCCAACTGCCTTTAATATGAAAATATGAACTCTTTGAAACGTACCGGCTTGATGATGACGTGATGAGATTGCGAGGCAGCCAGATATTCGCGCATCTGTTCGTACTCCTTTGGCAGCAAGTATGTCTTTGGCATTATTCCATAGACTTTCTCACCAAATCGACGCTGTTGTTTCTCAATATGCATCCACAGACGATCCTTTCGACCAATATGGAAGGCACCAGGATAGTGATTCACCTGAATGGTAGCTATATCTAGGAGAGATCGGATAATACGACGAATGGTTCTTGTCGTGAAGATATAAAAAGAGAAAATGGGAACTTTGGGATTAGCGATCTTCACCTCCGTGATCTTTTTAGCCGTTTTTTCTCTACTAATCTTCGGAAGAGTTTCACAATCTTATCGAACAGCGAAAGTAGAACTAATAATAAGTGGCTATCATGCTTATATCTCTCATTCCTTAGGTAGCGTTCAGACTTCGCGACAGCTTCGATCGCGCATGCTTTCGTCGATCGAAGCAGTCGAAAGCATGCGCGATCGATCGCTGAGCGCGCGACGGAAGTGTGACCGCCGCGAAGTCTGAACGCTACCTTGCAGCGAGCTCAGCCCGTTTAGGCTGAATAAAAGGAGGTCGCTGGGCTCTTTTGAGAGAGAGAAAATGTGCAAAAATATGCAAAACACTACAGAACAGTACAAAAACTATAGGTGTTAGTGCAAGTGGAACTGAACAAAAGCACGCCAAAGGCATACCTTCTGGTAGGGTTTCAAGGCACGATATTGACTGCTTTTCAGGTGACGACCCCAGTATCCAATGTGGAACAACGACTCATCAACGATCTTAACGACAACTTCATGAAAACACAAGAAAAGTAATTGAACATGAGGAACAACCTGACAGTAATAACCATTAATAACTCGATTACAACAACTCACCGTAAAATGACTAGCAGCAAGGCAATGTCGCATGACGATTGGAAGCAGGCTGTTGTGGCACCACGTCAAACGACTCGTGATCTTCTTGTTTGGCTTCGTCACTAAAAAGTAGGCGATACAATGTTCGTGGAACGGTTCCATCCTCTGAATGGATAAGAACTAAGCTTTGGCCCTTGATCAGTCCAGTTATGGACTGATCAAGGGCCAAAGCGCCTTCAATAGCGAAAGCTATTGAATCCATCTCTGAATCAAAAGATAAAGAGTGGCTATGGAATCGACATAACCTATGCTATGACTTGCGCAGACCAGTGTTTTTATTTTCCCATGCGGATATGGTACCAGTTTACCGACAGCGGAGAGGCAAAAAATACGACCTGGGCAGAAGCCGATCCGGGACTAACCCTCGGATCATGATAGGCAGCATATTCGCTGCAACACCACCTCCACCATCGCCCGACTAACACCACTGCAATGTGCACTACCGTGCCCCAAACCTTCAGCATCGGGGTATCCACCCCGTTTTTGATGGCTATCGCAACCTGGTGTTTTCTTTTGGTCGTTAAAGACAATTCTCGCGATCAAATGTTGCGGGTAGTAAGTGCTCAACGATGAGCAAGCAGCTTATAAGTAACTCTCCAGCGAAAAGGGAAGCAAAAAAACCTTGTAAACACCAACAGAGATATCCCCAGGAAAGGGGCCAGCGCCTTGGACGAGTTTATCATGAGAACAATTCCAATCAGCAGTATTCAACGTGCATACAGTCATGAAATCGCCCGACGGCACTCCAGGCAACGCTATGTACACACGCAATCCGCTTGTAAGCGTTGTCTTGCAGAGTGAAAGTGATCGTGGTTGCAATGGTTGCAATAATCACGTGTCTCTAGCTTCTTTATCTCGCCGTTCCGAGTGACGAAAATGGTATATTCTCTGCGAATGCGGACAACGATGCCAAATGCACGGAGGCATTTAGCAACGGTTCAATCACACTTTCAGTGAAGGAGAATGTGTTATATTCCTTCCGGTTCATCTGGAGATAAGGCAGAGGTGGTGAAGTGGCAAGTGGTGCCGCTTACCGTAAAGATCGAACTGCCAATCGACTTCTTTTTGGGTAAAATAAGCTTGCCATCCTCCGAAGGTCGGGCACTTGTACTAAATTCCAAGGTTGAGAGGAGGTCACAGCATTTACCCAGGCCAAGGTCGTTCAGGCGGTGACCCCGCTTTTTTCAAAAACGGTTTTACTGCACTTTTGTCAGGGCCGTTGCCATGAACCGTAAAAGTGGGCTCCGTTTTTGCTGTGCGGCTCCTGGAATGCCAAAAAAGGAGTGAAAGTTACGTCTATGTACCCCATATGAGGGACGTTAAGCGCTATACAGGCGCCAAATTGCGTCGAGGTCGAAAATAAGTGTCAAAATCGTAATCAGGAGCATCGATTACCCTTATGGACGAACTTCCAGCCAAAAAAATTTTTTCTATTTCGATTTTTGGATTTTGGTGGACCATTTGGTCGGCAGTGGTGACCGGAGAATCCCATCTTCGTAAAGACGATGATGGAACGACGACGTAGCAGGCCGCCGAGCAGGACAGCAAACCTGGTGGAATGCCTCCCTTTCCTTCCTCTTTGCATGAATTTCATCGGCATTGTTACTTTTATCTTTGGATATTAATAAAATAGGGGTCCCTATGTGAAGGGCCATAGACTTCTATGGAAAGTACTGTCGGCGGGCACAACCCAACGCACACACCCAAAAAAGTCGAAAAAAAATTTTTTGGCCGAAAGATTGTTTACAGGGGTAATCGATGGCCCGATCATGATTTTCACACTTATTTTCGGCGCCGACGTAATTTGGCGCCTGGGTAGCGATACACATCCCTTACTTGTGTGCAGCAAACGCCCTCCATTATGAGAAAAACATGTCCCTCCATATTAGCGATAAATGGCACCGTAGCTACAAATAAGTTCCATATTCGTGATTCGGGCATGGTCTGACCTATAAAGGTCAACTTTCAATTACGGTCTTGCTTAATGGTATGTAAAACCTGTAATAATTGAATAGCACTGATTCATGGAGTGTTCCCATTTAAAATGTGCCCATAAATGGCAGTTATCGAATGCATACTTACGCACAGACATATTTGAACGCGAAAACAGCAAAACATAAAAAATGCAAAAGCTCGGCAACGCGTAGGGGAGATCGAACCATCAACCCCACCCCAACTGTCCGCTTGAGAATCCTTCACGCTATCCACTAGGCCATCCGATCGTTGTTGCCTAATGTTCCTCCGACCGTTGAAGAAACCATTCCATGTAAGCGCCGGTTACACGCTTGATTAGTGCAAGCAAAGCAAGACCCCATACCACCCCAACTACTTTTCTCTTCGATTCCGATAGCACCTTTATAGGGTCCCTCCATTCAGCAACTGGTCAAAGTTTCAAGCGGTTTACAGCTCGTAGAGGCTCAAAAACAATCAGTTTCTATAGGTTTCTTTTCGCTCCTTTTTTGGCATTCCAGGAGGCGCACCAGCAAAAACGAAGCCCACTTTTACGGTTCATGGGCAAGGCCCTACAAAGTGCACTAAACCGTTTCGAAAAAGCGGGGCACGCCCTGAACGACCTCCCTTGTTAGCATTGACTCGTATACAGCTCATCGAGGTTGCATCCTACTATCCACTACATCAGCTATGTGTGTGTGGTGTGTGTGTGTGTGTGTGTGTGTGTGTGTTGTGTGTGTGTGTGTGTGTGTGTGTGTGTGTGTGTGTGTGTGTGTGTGTGTGTGTCACGATTCAATAAGCGAGGTCGGCAGAAGAGATAGATGACATGTTCCCAAGAGTGCATATACATGGCAGGCACGCGGTAACACTTTTTGGTGGTGTCAGGAGGATAGATAACACTCTGATAAGATAACGATAAGTAGGGGGCCGTAAGACAGCGGGAGGGTGCCGTGCATTCGAGGCACAAGTTGCAGGGGTGCAGGTGTGGGACCTGTGATTCCAAGGAGATGATATACAGTGGCAGACGGGAAAGCACTTTGGCGCGTGCGGCAACGTTGGGGTCAGAGGAGGTGATGATCGACTTCCTTGAGTAACCTGCGATTCGTATAAGTGGCGCTTAGGACGAAGGGGTCGAGGCATGACCTGAGAACAATCGTGGAGCTGCGATATGGCACGCAGCTGGCAGGACCGGAAGCTGAGGTCACACGAAGGTTAGTTTACATGCAGGGCGGAAAACACTTTGTGGTGACAGGAGTGATAACTACTCTGATAAGATTGCGACCAAGGGGCCGTGACAAAGGAGGGTGACCCGAGATTCGTGGAGGCAAGTCTGGCACGCAAGGCGGGACCATGATTTCAAGTACTGATATGCCGTAGGGTGGGGCTGGCAGAAGCTGATAACAGTTGATAAGATCCGATAAGGGGCCTCCGAAAAGCAGGGAAGTTGGGTCATCAAATTCGTGGCGCAGGTTACAGCACAGTGGGAACTCAGGTCCGTGAGGTGATATAGGGTGTGGGACGGGAACATTATTGGCGGGCGACAGAAAGTGATAACAGTTGATAAGATACGGTAAGCGGCCTCGGAGGGGGAGGGTCATCAGATTCCGAAACGCAGGTTCTACATGCAACACCTGTGGAGCCTTTCGGCTGTATCCGAGGGCGATACAGGGTGTAATGATGGGATAGGGTACGGTGCACGGAAATGTTATTAGCGGGTACGCGAAGTGGTAGGAGCTATTAAATTGACAAGGTGAGCAATGAGGCAAATCCAGCTCACGGGCGGCGACTGACGGTTGTGACGGAGCGGCCCCCCCTTCACACACAATGCGATCGATATGGCTGCAAGTATAAGCATCTCAGTGAATTCCCAACGAGAACTCATTCCTCCGCATGCCTTAGTCTCAGTAAACGAACGTCGTGTACGACCGGCGGTCTAAGCCAGCTCTATTCCAAATGCATGTGGTTTGTTTACAGAGATGTTATGAACAGCAGCAACTGACTTTATCACTCTTACCACAATTATCTTCCATCAGCAACTTCAGTGAGGGCCATTTAAAGGGTTCCACTGCTGAATGCGGTAGTGCATTCCAAAGCAAGACGCTTTAGGAAGACAGATTGCATAAATTATAGGCTGCTTCAGTGGCTGTATAAACAGGCTGCACTATTTCCGTGTAGGTTATGAACGTACCAGTCGGATCGCTGGCTAAGGCCGGCTTTCCTCCTTCTGTGATGCGGGGGGGGGGGGCTGCTGCTGCTTCTGCGCCTTGACGGAACAAGCGCTGCTTTTCAGTTCTTGGCTGATGCAAGATTCCTTTGAACAGTGTGGTTGGTCAACGATCCTTAACTTAGCACGCGGCAAATCCGCATGGCCCGGCTTCGCCGGGCCATGTCACAGAAGGAGGAGCGCCCGGCGACAGCCGGGCGATCCGACCTGGTTGTATAATAATGAGATTTTAGTAAAATTTGAGTAAAATTTTACATAGTATTTTGATTGTTAGATTTCTTACTACACTTTTCTTATCTAAGTTTAGAGGGGGTGACTCAAAGAAGTAGCTTAGTTTCCGTTTCGCACGTGCTCCTTAGACGGAAACCAAGCAGTTTGTAATAATAATTGGTAATAATAATTAGATCTTATCAGGATCAATAAATTAAGATAAGCCAAATGGGAGTTCAAAATGCCACACACGGTTCTGAAAGGTGAGATGGTATGTGCGGCGCGTATTCTGAACGAAGATCGAACAGCACCACAAAAACTCTAAGCGGCATTCTATCATATAACGTGATAAAATCCTAATAATAAATCCTAATAATCGAGGAGATAAGCACGGTCGTCATTTCCTTCCTCTTTCCAGTCAACCAGCTGAGACGCTGAGAAACCTGCGATCAACTGTTTTGCAGGACCTTAAGTGCCTAGCGTTCAGAAGCTGGACAACACTAGTTTGAGGAATAAATTGGCAAAACCTGATAGCAACTGCTTGTCTCACTGACTACAAAACCGCCAGTACTTTCCAGTTCCAAGAGAGTACACGCTCTCCTTCTGTCGTTTTGAATTCATCCTTCTCCAAGAAGGAAGGACCACGAATAACTACTTCTACCGCACCCTTTCTCAGAATTCGCGCTGCTGACAAAAAACGTTCTGTTTTCTGAAAGTT